GCTAAAATTTTCAGAGGATAATTTTCTTTTGAACTATAAACCTAGTACATAGAACTTGATAACTGGACAATGTAAATGGATTCTCTAGGCCCTAACTGTGGCCAAAAGACTGATATTGCAACCTTAGAAAGATAAATGTATGGCCCCTTTTCTTCTCAATAGATTGAAGACCTGATTGTACTTGCCACTTATGAGCAGATTCCCTAAGGATGTAGACTATGAATGGACAAGTATAATGAAATATGGGACTCATTTATACAAAATACAGTAGGCTAAAAAAATGATAGTCATATAAATGTATTAGAAATAAATACGTACTTGAATAATATTTGCATTAGACAAGTATATATAGAATTGTAATTGTTACTGTTATAATGACATATTAACATTTTTTTCTTTGTTGTATTTCACTTTTTTGTTAAAGCACTTTCTTTGTGGTTTTTTTTCTTCTCAGTGATAAAAAAACAAATAAAAAGTCTACTCTTAGTCATGGAGTTGTCTTACTGTCTCAGCCCAACCTACCTCAATGGGGTGTTGTTGAGGGAGAAAATCAGAGGAAGGAATTCTATGTATTTCACCTTAAGGAAGGCGAGATATATATCTACAACAAAAAAGCAGAACAAAACTTAGGTATTAGTGAGGATGCCTCAAAACAGTTCTGACATTTTTTTTCTGATAAAATGCAATGCTATTGCAGGTAGACAGTTTTTATTCCACGTTATTTGCAGCTGCTTGTGGGAGTCAGGAAACACAGTGTGGTCAATTGCATTTTGCATTGACACCTTTGCTAGGCAGAAGAAAGGTTGTAGTCACCCATGTTCGTGCATGAAGTATGTATATGGAGTGGCCACTGTGTAACCCCCTGAACATCTGCTGGTGGACCAAAGAACTTACTGCACTTGTGAAATCTGTGAGCAAATCGACATTTTTAAAAAATGTTGCCTGGAACAGCACCAAATGGGCTTGCAATGAAGTAGAGTAAGTATTTCTGTTTTTTAAGATCTCGTTTCCAAATGGGCGATTTCTACTTGTAAGAAGTCTCTGTTCCTAGTACCGTTTGCTGATAGGGGAAATCAGAGAAGAGGCAAATATTTTTTAAGAATCTGGAGAGAGGTGCAGTATATGTATCTATTTCCATATTCCAATGTGCCTCTTAATTGATGGATTGCTGTTAACTAGCCACTTAGTACAGCAGACCCATCTTTTAAATGGGAAATGCCAGACTCTAAAATTGGGGCCTACTGTGTGCACAGGATGTTTTGTCTCTGAGAATTATGGTCTCTCCCCAAGAGCAATGCTTTTCCTTTTCACCAGTTTTGTTAAAAAAGAAAAAGAAAAAAAATTAAATGATTGCCTTTCCAGGTGCACGACCTGTTCCTTTCTTCTAGAAGTTTCATCTACTGAGAATCAAGCCTGCTCCTAACCAGTTAGGCTGTGCATGGCTCACTCTCTGTGGTTTTGTTTCTTGGTGATTCAGATTAGGCATAACCTTGAACTTCTTTTTAATAAAATTATTTTAAAAAAAAAAAACCAACCTCAGGCCTGTTTCTTCAAGAGGCCAGTGAGTATCACATTCTCATTCTTAAGGCAGCCCAAATAATTATACAGGATCTTTAGCTTGAACACTATAACTTTTAGGGTTATATAACCTTTTCAGACTCTAAAATAAATGTAATCAGACTCTCACTGCATGATAAGGATTCTGCTGGCTGCTAAGCTCTGTAATATATACAGCTATTAAAATAGACTTTTCCCCATTTGTGTCTGGAATAGTTATACAGGAAGATGCCATGTCTATTGAAACTCCCTTTCAATACTATGTCTTTGTGTGAAGTAGAAGAAACAACCCTTGTCAAAGGTTCCCACTTCCCCAAATGCTTCTCCACCATTGCTGTACTAGAAAGCAATGCACATATGGATGTATTTTTTCACTGTGGGTATAACAGACATAGCATTATTTTTTAATGTGTACCCCCTCCTTTCCAAGTCTAGTTTGCAGACTGACATCTTGAAATAAACTATAACTAGATGATGCTTTTCAGGCATTGTGAAATGGGACGATGCATTGAGGAGTTGGTGCAGATGGTCCTAAAGCTGACTCTTGCCAGCTTATTTATCAGGAATTGAAGCATGGTGCTGGACATGCTGTTATGTTCAGACCCAGACTCTTCCACCTGTGAATCATCTGCTGGCAATCTTCCCTTGTACTTAATGAATTACCTTTGCTTTTCCTGTAGCTGTTCATTGTATATAGCATTATCAATATCCATTGTACTTTGCAACAAGAAGACAAGCTCTTTTCCTGAAACTATCATCTAAAATTGGGCACAAGGGCAACAAGGGAGGTAGGAGTAAGGGCTGATGGGGAAGAATATTTATTTTAGCTGTGTCTATCTACCTATGTTGGTTTGGGGGACTAACAGCATATGTGGAAAGGCTGCACTTGGGCCTTTTTAAATGAGAGAAGAGGAGGGTGAGCAGGGCTCTAGAGGCTTCTAGCTTTAATCACATTGTGAGAAAATAAATTCCATCAAGCTGGAATCTGGAATCATCCAAAGAATTGGCATGATGACAGATCCAGAATAGACAAAGGGAGTTCCTTTTCCTTCAAGGCACATTTCAGCTATGAAATCTGTGATCACAAGATGCAATAATGGCTGTAAGAAGGCATTAGATAAATGTATGGAAGGTAAAACAATCTATAGCTGTTAGTCATACTGACTAGACTCTAGCTCCAAAATAGAGGTAGCATGTTTATGAATACTGATCAGTGCAGGTGCAGAATTCATGTTAGATTTAAAATAACAGGGCTTGGGAAGAGCTAGGCACAGACAGCTTCAAAATGCTGTCATCAGTCACAGTTGTCATTGCAAGCACTATTGGTAGATGTCACTGGGTCAGTTTTTTCCATCCCCTGTTTGTCTCAACCAGTAAGGGTTAGAAATTCTTTGTATATGGCTATCATGGCTAAGAGTATCCAAAAGATGATGAATTAGTTGTATCATGCATGGGGGGTGGCTAGAAGAATTATATTGAAAACTTGGAAAAGTGATATGATTCCATATGTTAAGGAATGGCTTTTGGAACTCTGTAACTTGGAAAAGGCAATATTTTCTACTAATCAAACGATAAAGCAACATGTTCTACTTTGGCCGAGCTGTTATGTTATTTTATAATAATATTTTTATTGTACCATAGTACTTAGTAAATCAGTGATTATTGATAAATTTTCATACAGATGGTAGATTTTTTTTTCTCTCTTCTTAGTCTGGTTTTTTATCTTTTCTGACTTTGTTAATATTTTTTTATAATTTACGGATTGTTCTGTTTGGTGTTTTGTTTAGCGTATTTTGGTGTTTTATCTATATTTTTTCATTTTTTCTGAACTTAAATTAAAACATTTAAAAATTAATTGATTCTGTTTGTATATCTGAATGTTACCCATTAGAATGTTCCATGGCAAAAAATGGCATCAAATGTGGACTCATTTCACAATGCTTCTTTTTGTTTCTTTGGGCTCTGCTGTGATCCAGTTGCATTGGTTGAACAAGAAGTGGATCTCAAGATGATTTATACTTTCCTATGTGGCGTTGTAGATAGAGAGTTGGATTAGGAAGATCCAGATTGAAATTTTCATATTTCTTGAAGTTTGGGCCAGTCATTGTCTGTCAGGGCCTTTGTGAGAATAAAATGGAGGGACCACAGGCAGTTCCAAATGATTTTCTACTCCATTTTCCCCCTTAAACGAGAAAATCCCAACCTTTTAATATTTTTCAGCATAAGGAAAAACCTCCTTGATCTTTTCTGTTACTCTCCATCTTGCTGATATAATGAGCACCCTAAATGTGGGTAAACTATAGATTTATATAATGGCATTTATCCTTGTCCTGTTTTAATGTCTTTCTTAGATAATTCATAATGTTTTGTCTTTTCTCTGGTGTGATACACTTCTTTTTCAGTCTCCTTCCTCTTTTCATTCTAATAAGTTGATAGCCTGTAAAGACCCTATCAGCTGGAATACAAAACAGTGAGGATGATTAACTTATTTCGAGGGGTGATACAATTGGCATTCTGCTCCATTCTGAAGAAAGTCCCACTACATTCATTGAGTCTTGTCTTTACATAATTGTTTGTAGGAAAGTGACTTTGAAGAGGGAAATATGGAATTTCTACTCTTAAGTCATGTCATCTGGAATAAATTTTATTTATTTGAAACATTTGCGTGTCTTCACTCACTGGAGTTGGGATGGTGCATAAGCAAATATAAATTACTTATATAACTGAATACTATGATATACCATGAAACAATGACACAGACAATAAAATGACGGGCAACTAAAAACAAACAGCAGGCTAAGATATTTTAAAAATTAAAATGCCCAGAGAAATAGCAGTCTTTTAGTCTAATTCTGTAAAGATCCTGATGAAGGGGCCAGAATCCAGGAGAATCATCTTGATTTGGTTTCAGAAATTATTTGGTTAAATAATGACAGTTGGTATATAGCTGGATCAGCATTTTTTTCCTGCTTACCAGATAAAAGTTGATGATTATTACTTAACCAGCACCATTGCTTTTCTGGCTTGTTTCTTGCTGAGATTTGTTTACATTTTTATTTGTTTTTGGATCATGAGCAATTGGGGCTTGGCAGGTCACAGCAGGTTTGTATTTTGGTTTATTAAAATATAATCTGGCCTCAGAAGATATTTTTCAATGAGCTTCCCCCTTTGAGCCTCTTTTATAGGTAGACCTTTGCACAGCATTAAATGGAGATTTGGGCTCCTTTTAAACAATATGTTTGCATTTCTATTGTAGGTTTAAATAGGGCTTAGTTTTAAGAATTATGACCTGTGTAATAACATTTCAGGATTCAATTTATCCAGTTTCTTTTTCTGAAACACCCTATGCTGCACTGTACTCTGAAATGTGCAGCTAAACTGAACAAAAGATACATTTTGAAAAAAGATTTTCATGTTAAACTCTCTTTTTTGTTTCTCGGCAGGTCATTTTTGTTCAAGTTAATCCAGGTGAAACTTTTACTATAAGGGGTGAAGATGGAACTCTTCAGTGCATTCAAGGTAAGGAAGATTTTGTAGGACAAACTTTTTGTTTTATGCTTTATTTTCTTGATCATCTATGTGATATTGATAATGATTCCTGTTGACATTGACTTCTTATTTCCTTAATTAAAGAAGGTTCATAAAGCTTAAATATACAAAATGTTAACGGTTTTCACTTTGCAAAGTGCTGAAAAATCATCTGGATAATTTGCAGCTCATAAAAGTACAGATCTTTTGAGCCATACCATTTCCTTTTGGAACCCAATAGTTTAAATCATTTTCTGTCACCCATTCAACAAATTACTATATCTGTGGCCCTGTAAGATATCCAGACAGGGGATCTTTGAGGATACAGATTTGTGCTATAATAGGAATTTATTTTTATAGAAATTGGATTTTTACAGGCAGAGGCTAGAAAGAAATCTGTTGGGATAGTGTAATTCTGATTTTCAAACATCAAGTAGGTGGTTAACTTTTGACTTTGGAAGCATTTTTACTTTCTCCTGGCTTTATTTGCTCCTATCATCTTGACTTTCTGTTTTGCATAGTGCCTTTGCTTAAACAGAACAGGTATCTCATGGATGGGCCTGACTGTGGATATACTACATGTTATTTCAGAAACCCTTTGAACTCCTTGATTCTCTTTCAGGTTGTGATACTGATACAGGGGATTGAGATCATGTCAAGGGGTAGAGGGTGGATCATTATTTTTCAAGAAATAACAGTCTGAATGGAGCTGTGGGTTATTTTGACTCAGGAGAGTTAAAGTAAGTGCTATGCTTCGCACACATCAAGAAAGTTTGGAAGAGTAACCCTGTGCCTCCATTCAAGCATAGCACCCTATAATGAGGCATTTTGGTTTAGGTTTAGTGTAGTCTGTAAGCCCACTCATTGCAGTTTGCAATCCATGGTTTACAGCCAGGGTACAAAAAGTGTGGCCCTCAGAGGTCCCCAGTCAGGATAGGACAAAATTTCCAGGCTATTTCCATTTGGGGGGTTTGGAGGATTTAAAGGGTAACAACTTCTGCTTAAACTTTGCAGAGACTTTAAGTAGCCAATGAAGTCATGAATCCCTCCATCCTTTAAAACATTAGGCTGATTTCCTTCCTTCCTTCCTTCCTTCCTTCCTTCCTTCCTTCCTTCCTTCCTTCCT